GGTGCTGTGGCTCAAGCAGTAGAGCGCTCACCTTGAGCTGAAGAGCGCAAGGATAACGCCCAAGCCCAGAGTTCAAGCCCCATGACCAACCAAAAAAAAAAAAATAGGCCAGGAGTAGTGGCTCACACCTGTAACCACAGTTATCTAGGAGGCAGAGAGCATTAAGTACAGCGGTTCAAAGGCCAACTCAGGCAGTAAGTTAGTAATATTCCATCTCAATAAACAAGCTGAGCACTGGTAGCATATGCCTCTGGTCCCAGCTACTTGAAAGGCATAGTTAGGAGGATTAAGGTCCAGGCTGGCTTCAAGCAACAACAAGAGAACCTATCTGAAAAAATAACTAGAAGCAAGAAAGGGCTGGCTAAAGCGGTGGAGTGCCTGTCTAGAAAGCACAAGGCCCCGCATTCATATCCCAAATAATAAGTACAGGGAGTATATAGCTGAATGGTAGAATGCTTACCCAATGTTTATAAGGCCCTAGGTTTGATTTTCAGTACTGCCCCCCAAAAGTAAACAAAGAAACAAACAAAATAAACCCATTACCTGCTCAGGAGAAGCTTGACTTTTACTAGGTACTGTAGGTTAATTTACCAACGATAAATTCCTTTAAGAGGGATTTCTAAATTAAGGGTTTTGAAGATTTTTAAGGCTGCTGAGGTATAGTTGCCAAATTTCTCTTACCAACAGTTGTCCTGATTCACACTCTATACCAGCAGTCTGCTCTCTTCCTTACACGGGGATAGGATGATCATTTTAAGCGAATATGACAGATGCAAATTCAGTATTTTCATCTGAAATCATGAAATTATTTATGCTGAATATTTTTCAGATCCATACTGGTAAATGTATTGGATACATTGCCTTCATATATATATATATATTTTTTTTGGGGGGGGGGTCTAGTCCTGGGGCCTGAACTCTGGGCCTGGGCGCTGTCTCTTAGCTCTTCAGCTCAAGGCTAGCGCTCTACCATTTGAGCCACAGCGCCACTTCCAGCTTTTTTCTTTTTGCTTATGTGGTGCTGAGGAATCGAACCCAGGGCCTGAGGCATGCAAGGCAAGTGCTCTACCACTGAGCCCCCTTCCCAGCCCTACCTTCATATATTTTTATAAATTAGCTGTCTTTCTAAAATACTATCTGGAAAAAGCTCTTCTTAAAGGATACTGATTCCTTTTTTTGTTGTTGTTGGTCATGGGGCTTGAATTTTGGGCCTGGGCGCTGTCCCTGAGCTCTTCAGCTCAAGGTGAGTGCTCTAACACTTGAGCCACAGTGCCACTTCTGGTTTTCTGGTGCTTAATTGGAGATAAGAGTGTCATGGACTTTCCTGCCTGGGTGGCTTTGAACAGCAATCCTCAGATCTCAGCCTCCTGAGTAGCTAGGATTACAGGCGTGAGCCACCAGCACCCAGTTTATTTTTCAAAAAGTATAAGATTTTTCCTTTTTTTCCCCTTTCTGAGTTAGTCAACAAATATCTGTAATATTCCTTCTCTGTGCCCAACACTGAAATGTCCAAATTAATTGAGAAAAGAAAGCTTCAGTGACTTGCTCAAGGCCACTCAGTAGTAGGGCAGGGCCAGTGCTGGACCTATTTTAAGGTGAATGTGGAAAGAAATGAGAACCAACAACGATCCAGGAGAACTGGGCCTGATAGAGGTAGGACACTGGACACATTGCACAATCTTGTTCTGCTCTGAAATATCTCCTCAGTCATTTATGAGTGTTCCAAAGCTCAACTGCACCAGAGTCTGTTTATGCACATCTGCACACCCCCACACAGGCTGTAAGGAGAAGAAGCGTGCCCACACCATGGCCCAGGAACCTGTTAGGAGTCAGAGAGGTCACACATAAAGGACACCTGTTGATGTGTATGATTTTTGCAAAAAGCCAGGGTGTCACAGTACTGTTAGAAGGCCAAGTGTAAAAATCCAGGTTCATCAGATGAGGCAGGGCACAGCTGCACCGAACTATGGCACCAAAGTCATATTAACACTTAGGAAAGACCTGGGGCCTAGCCAGCCATAAGCCAGCAATGGAGCCTGTAACATAGCCTGGTGGGTTAGGCGAGATGGAAGGAACTGAACAGTTATGAAGGCAGCCATGTCTAAGTTATTCCAGAGTCATTTTGGGGGTGAAGAAGTGAATCCCACACGAGAAAGGACAAAGCAAGAGGGGTGCTGGGATGGAATGTAGGCAAGCTCTCTACTACTAAATTTCTCCCTCCCCACTCCTTACACTCCTAATTTGACTCTTAACACTGGCAATTAAGTACTGCATCAAGAAAAAGTGAAGTCTGGAAAGGGGGTATTCACATAGAAAAGAAAAAGAATCTAGTTTGTTTCTCTATAATCATTATGTCTGAAGAATACCACCATTAGTATTCAAAGCCCTAGTTCTCATCATTCAGGAAGTTTCCTCCCCTGAAAGGTGATTCTTACTCAGCTCCAACCGTGATGCTTTGGGAACAGGAAAAGTGTTTATAAGGCTTGTGCTCTACCACTTTGAGCCACAGCTCCACTTCGAGTTTTTGAGTGGAGATGAGTCTCACAAGGACTTTTTCTGCTCAGGCTGGCTTCGAACTGCAATTCTCAGATCTCAGCCTCCTTACTAGCTAGGATTACAGGTGTGAACTACCAGTGCCCAGCTTCCTAGAGATTCTTTGTCAGAGGTTCATCATTCCCACTTTCCAGAGGAAGAAACTAAGGCTCAAGACTAAGTGATGGGACCAAAGATCACTCTTCGGTCTGTATGAAGTAAGACCACTGCGACAGAGTTTTGGCCAAGTCACTTTGAAGTATATGGTCGATGCCTACACATATCAGAAGCCGCCCTGCCACAGGTGAGAAGCAGTTATCTAACCAGGAGAGTACTTAAAAACAAAACAAAAAAGCAAGCAGTTAGAATGAGGTGTAAGTTACACACCATAAAACGTATCTCAAGTAATTTTTAAGATGGTGAGGAATGTGAACACTTATGGAAATACAAGTGTTCTGCAAAAAGGAACCAAAGGTGGTTATCATCCAAGAAGCCCCATGGGAGCAGGGCCTGGGATGCCTACCTTGGATTCCATAAAGCCGGTTGAGGCGTGACCGCCGGGCTTCATCGGTGTAGGGGACAGCGAGCCAGGGCATCTCACTGAAATACTGTTTGAACGACTCCTCTGATCTACAGGGAGACAGATGGAAAACAAGGCACAATTATCCAGTGTGCAACCACCACCTGGTCCTCTCACCAGTTTCCCAGGTTGCTACGTCAGAATTCCTAATTCTGGTGCTTCCTCTGATGTCAGACCATGGATGGTGCTATCCTGTCCATTCTGGTACTCACCAAGAAGCAAAGGCCTCCACATTGCAGGCAGAGCCAAAGGAAAGTGGCCAGTGAGTCATGTCCTCACCTGTGTCCAGACGACTACACTCATGCCCGAGACTTTCCTTTTTCAACACAGACAGGCCAACTTTTACAATGAGCTTAGAAGTACGCACTGTCCCATGCTGCATGATTTCAAATTTGCATAGGGAGCGGTGATATGTACAGGATCATACATTTAAAACCAAGTGTATGATTGCATGTGTTAGGAACTCTAGGGAAAACCAATCTACTCAAGTAATAGCCAATCAGAGCATCCCTGGGGCTGTGCTCGAGGGTGGGGAATGATCAAGAAGGGAGTACAGAGGAATCTTGTGGGTGCTGATTACACGGGTAGACACAGTAGATAAAACAGTTTAGTTAAAATGTATAGAATGTATGGTGTTGAAATTAGATTTCAATAAAGGCGATTTAAACTGGAAAGCTATTTAAAACTTTCTAAAAATGTGTGTGCCATGTGGCATGCCATCAGGCTTGCAGCCCCCCCTTCCTCTCCACCCCCACTCCCCAGGACCACAAAGTAATTAACAGCATGGGAAGTTCAACAGGACACAGTAATGGGCAAAAGGCCTCTGGTGTGCTGGCATCTCAGAGATCCTCCTGTGAACAGGGCCCTTAGGAGGCAGAAGCATCTGGCAACTAAGTCTGGATTGGGGCCAGAGTTCTGAGCTAAAGGATGCTCACTGATGAGTAAAACACGACAGGAGGAAAGAAGTGGGTGAAACGAAGACCGAAAGGACTTGACTTCCTCAGGGAAGAACATCCCCCACCCTCCACCCTTGTTTTTGTGATTATTTATCCATTCAGGTCCAAATGGTTCTAGCCAGAGTGTGTGACCAGAGCTACCAGAGCTAAGGAAATGATTGCATATCCATCCAAGATGGATGTCACATTGCATTAGTTTGTGGCTCTCTTCCATACCCCTCTATATCTTTTCCTCATGATTTAGAAATGGAATAAAATGGAAAACACATCCTAATCTCAAATAATCCAGGCTTGGACTGGGACATGTTTAGTGTTTCCAGCAGTAAGAGGTTTTTCTAGGCTCCCTTCAGACAATTAAATGAGTCTGACAGGAAATGTATTGGCCCCTCTGCCAATAATCCCATCTCCTACCCTCCATGCTCCACAACAAGAAAGTAAGCAATGTGAGGCAAAAGGTATGAGTGCTAACCACGTATGCAGCAGTTACAGGACAGTCACTTCATTGGCACACATTACCTGTCTGCACTAACAAAGATGATCTCAAACTGCTGGCCTGCCTCCTTGATCTTCCGGTAGGATTCCACCAGCACCCTGGTGAGGCTTCGGCAGGGGGGGCACTGAAAGACAAGAGCAGGACCAATGATGTGCTATCAGGGGCCAGATAAGCAAGACCCAAGTAGGACTAACCTGTAGACTCAGTTCATAAGAGAAGAAAATAAGCTCATCTCTCTTCTTGGGGAGAATCCAGCCCGGGCTCTGCCCAGCCCATACAGTATGTCAGGAGGCAGCAGTTAGTATAGTTCCTTAGGGACCCTTAGAGAAGCTCATCAGAATGGGCTGGAGAAGTCATTGTCTTGCTGCTGTCATTGTGCTTATTGCCTACCAACAAGGTGCAGAGGACAAGAAGGCCAGGGAATACCTGCCAAGTGTTCACCTCTCCAGAAGCCAACCACAGGAAGGCTTGGTGCATCCTTCTGCCTGAACTAGGGAGGGACCAAACACTCACCCAGTGTGCGGAGAAATAGACTCCCACGTGAGACCCCTCCAGACTGCTGCTCTCCAACGACTGCTCGTTATTTCTAAGCAAGGGCCCGGAAATGACTTCCCTGAAGGGCTTAGGTCCCCAAGGGAATTCCAGACCTGAAACAAGGCAACAGAGGGCAAGAATGTCAAGGCTTCTTTGTGATAGCCTGGGACTGGGAAAGCCTTCTGGCTGCAGGTGCAACCCCATGATCAGATGGCATTTGTAAAGACAGTCACAGGACCCTCAGTTAACAAGGAAACCCAAGTGGGGACTCATCCAAAGCCAAGCAAGCCCTGCTACCATTGAAACAGTGGTCCCTGGCCTGGATGAGCACAAAACCCACCTCCCAAGGGCCATCTTGGGATGCAGAAGGAAGGCTTCAGATGTACAATGAAACAAACAGAACAGACTCCACAGGTAACTCAGAGGAGGTAAGCCAATCCCAGTCCCGGCATCTTAGTAGTTCTTAAGTCTGATTGTACATTTGAATCCACTGGGGAAACTTCAAAAGAGAATGCATTTGGGGCCTGATTCTCAGAGATTTGGATCTGGGCTGGGACTTGGGGAACCAAGTGAGAACTTAAGTTTCATGAACTGTAGAGTGAAACCTTCCTATCCTCTATGCTGGACATATTCTGAGACATTTAAGCTCCAGACAGGAGAGTAAATAATAGGCTCCCAGCACAACACAGCAGTATTTTCTCACTGGGTGGTCCGAGGCCCACTGCCTCAAAATTGCCCAAGGGGATGGGCAGAAGATGGAAGAGAGAGGCAGGGACCAGTTAAAAGCAGGTGGCAAGCCCACCATGAAACAAAAGAATACAAACCTCTCTGGAGGGGGGGAGGAGTAGGACCGTTGTTAAAACTGTCAGAGGGGAGGGAAGACTGTATGTTAAAGGGATCAGCACTTAAACCTGAAAAGGAGTTGGTTCCATCATGCCCTGGTTTTTACAGAGGGTAAATTTTTCTACATGGGAAGTTTTTTTTGTTGTTGTTGTTGTTGTTTTCTGGGAAAATGGCTGACCAGGGCCAGGGCTTCAGTTCTAACTGGATTGGTGGGAGAAGGGAGATCTCTTGTCACTTCAATACGCATGGACAAAAGCAGATCCTTGTCAGCCACTGGGCAGAGGTCAGAGCAGCCTCCTCGGTGTGCGGCCTTGGCCAGCTGGCCAGCAAGTCTGTAGGACTTAGGCAGCACCAAGAAATAAGGTGCGTGCATTTGGCACAAAGCCAGGAGAGCCACAAAGGGACTGTGACTTTGCTGTGGTGAGACAGATAGAACACCTTTAATCCCCAATCCTCAGGTCAAAAACCTTTTTTCATGTGTATTCTGCCAGCACTGGGGCTTGAACTGGCTCTCAATCAGGTTCACAATCTGTACTCTACCACTCCAGCCACACCTCTATTTCTGGCTGGCTTTTGGCTGGTTCAATCTGAGACTGATTTGTCTTCCTAGGTTGACTTTGAACCTTGATTCTGGAATCTCAGCCTCCCAAAATGGCAGGATTATAGGCTTGAGCCATCTAAAGCTTTGAAAGCTATGCTAGTGCTCAAAAAGTTTTAATATTTCAGATTCCAGATTTCTCAGATGAAGGATGTTCAACTGATAGTCTCTGCAAATACTTCAAATCTGAAAAACTTCAAAATACAAACTATTTCTTCTTTCAAGCATTTCAGATAAGTGACAGCTATATTTAAAGAGGAAAAACAAACCTTCCTCTTTGCCTGCCTCTAGCTGCCAAGCGTCAACCACTGCTGAAACAGCACAAGAGGTCAGTGTCTGAGTTCTTGTGCTTTTCAACATACTCCTCGGCCCTCCATGCTGAACTTCCTTTTCCAGAATCCATCTGCTTCTGCCCATGAGTTAAAGGCCCCAGGAGGGACATTTGGATCCCTTTAAAAATCTTAACCATGACCAGGAGAATACCATCATTTCAACAAGACAGCATTCCCTAGCCAGCCAGCTCAACCACTTATGTATATCACACTAGTATCCTCTCCACCAACGAGGAGGAGGAGGCCAGGGCTGGTAAGTGGGGGAGTCTGGGGATTCGAGCACAGAAGAACACAGCAGGGCTTTACCTTCTGGGTCATCTCGGATCACCAGGAGGCCGTTCCTGCACACAACCTTTCCAGTGGTGGCATCTAGGAAAATGAGTGATGGAATGTTGGAAATTCGGTATTTGTTCCAAAGTTTCAGCTGTAAAAAGAAAAGTTAAAGAATGTAAGTAAAGCCCAATCAAATCAACTGTGGAGGTCTTTCAAGTTCCGTGGGCCCCAAGAAGGATGCATGAGAACGCAATGGAGTATAAATAAAGGAATACCTGGCCCAAAGCTGGGCTGCTGGGCAAAGGAACGGGTTAACTACAATCTCACATGGTCCCTGTGGTCTGTAGAGTGCAAGTCCCACCCAGGTTCAGGTAATGACAAAGGTGATGGAGGATCATGCTTCTCCCCCTCTGCCTCATGGGCATACTATCTGAAAAGCATGAACAACATGGCTGCTCCTGGGCACAGGAAGGACAGGGCAAGGAGGTGTCTGAGGGCAACAGGCCTCAAGAGGCAGGCTGAATGAAGCAGAGGGTAAGGCATGCATGACTGTGTCACCCTAAGCAGCAAGGGACGAGGCAGAGCACCTGCCAGGAAACAGTAGGTTTCCCTGCCTCTAGATACCTGTTTCTTGGCAGGAAAGGGGGCCTGTCTCAAACTGGATGGGCCCTGGCAGACAGTTTGCAATGACTAGTACTGTCACTCCACAGAGGTGTGATTCCGGATCCAGACCAAATATGCTCAAGAGAAAGAGTCAACAATAAGTAAAAATGTCCTGCCACTGGTATAAGAGCCATTAATTAGCTGTGCAAGAGAGAAGAAAAGGAAGAAGGAAGGAAGGAAGGAAGGAAGGAAGGAAGGAAGGAAGGAAGGAAGGAAGGAAGGAAAAACTAAGATGACTTAACTATAATTATGGTTGAAAAATAATTCTTGAAGGGAGAGAAGTCATCATTGGAAAAAAATAAAAACTACAGTAACCTACAAACATTACAGTAAAAAAAAAAAAAAAAGTCACCCATCCATGATTCACCACTTAGTGAAAGCTTAGACCATTTTTGGCAGTCCTGGGTTTTGAACTCAAGGCCCTGTGCTTGCTAGGTAGGTGCTACATCATTGGGCTAGACCATAGCCCAACTTAGGTTCCATCAGTGTGTGTGTGTGTCTCTCTCTCTCTCTCTCTCTCTCTCCTGGCTTGTACTCAGGGCCTGGGTACTCTACCTACCACCTGAGCTACAGTTCCACTTCAGGCTTTTTGGTGATTAATTTGATGAGTTTCACAGACTTTTATGCCTAGATTGGCTTCAAACTGAGATCCTTAGATCTCAGCCTCCCTAGTAGCTAGGAGTACATAGGAGTGAACTACAGACACCTGGCTTGAACTGGTCAATTTTGAGATAAGGTCTCGCTTTCTGCTGAGGTGCCTGGACTGAGATCTGCCTATTTTAAGCTTCCTACTACAGCTGGCATGGCAGGCATACATTGTCCTATTCAGTTTCTTCTGTTGCAATAGGGTCTTCCAGACTTTTCTGCTTGGGCTGCCTGGATGGGTTGGCCTTGAGGTGTCCATTGGACGTACAAGTGATTTCAAGTAGGTACCTAGGATTTATGAATCTAGACTCTGGAGAAAGGAAGGTCTCGAGATAGAAATCAAGGATCATTAGTGACTAGATGTTTTAGGAGGGGACATGACTGAGGAAGAGATCACAGGGCACAGTCAGTGACTGCAGACACCGAGGGCTGAGGGGTGCTAGAAAGGCATGGAGGGTGGAGAGAAGAGAGCAGGCAATGGTGTTAGATGCTGCTGCACAGTGTCAGTGGGGCTAGGGGGAGTCAATGGTACAGGAGGAGGAATGGGCACAGTCCTTTCCAGTATGTGCCCCAAGGGGCCCTGTCCCAAACTGGAGCCCTCTTGCCAAATAGGACCCATCAAGAGGAGAACAGCAAGAAAAGCCATATATATAGAGATATAGATGTATATCTATCTATCTATCTATAAATATGAGAAGGGGCTGAAGGAATGATCATACACAATTTTCCTCAAGATTTTGCTGTAGAGGGGCCAGATGTAGTAGGGTATGCCTGCGTTTGCAAGCTGCAACTTCAGGAGAGAGAGGTTAGGAAAATTGGGGTTTGAGGTCAGCCAAGGAAAGAAGTTATTAAGACCCCCATCTCAATAGATAAGCTGAGGGTAGTGGTCTACATCATAAGAAGTAAAGCCACTCAGGAGGCAGAGGACGAAGGATGGCAGTCCCAGGCCAGCCTGGACAAAGCTTGGGACAATATCTGAAAAACTGAAATCAAAAGAACCAGGAACACATTTGTTGCTCTAAGGTTAAATGATCTTTGCTTTCTTAGAAGAAATTTTCCTTGGTCCTGTGTATTATTCAAGGATTATTAGGATCATATCCTCCCTGGGGTTCAGACAAGTAAAAAGAACACTTTGAAGAGAATTCTTTTTGAGTAACTAAATGTTTCCTAAAGCAAACTGCAGCCTGTGAGCCTTAAATAGAAAGGTGGCAGGTACCACATGATTACAATAGGGTGGTTCGAATGTAGGCACCCAGATTACACATGCAATGTATTTATGTGATTAGGGTTTGAACTCAGGGCCTTTCGCTTGCCAGACAGGTGTTCTACTATTTAAGCCATACTCCCAGCCAAACAAGATTGATCTTTTCTCTCAGAACCTTCTTTGGAGAACTAAGAAGCTAACTTGTACAACCCTTAACTTCCCTCCTCTCTAGATGGGCTTCTTTTTTATGGGGTCTAGGATGATAGTGCGTGGGTCTTGGCATGTGTCTTATCCATCACATCATTGTTTGCTGGTGGAGTGCCACTGATTTAGTGGAAATTTTGCATTTGGACTCAAAACTGGCACTAAAGAGTAGATCTTTTTATAGACTAACCCATCACCCAGTAACTTTATATGACCATGATTTATTTAGGAACTTATTCATCAGTGAGCTCTGTTCATGATTGACATGGACTTTTTCAGGCTGCAGCATCAGGGTTACTCGGCTCCAAAACAGTGGATGGCACAGAATGATCACTGTGGCTGGTGGCCCTGCAGGTTTCAGTGCCTGTGTCAGAAAGTGCCCTTTAGGATGGAGAAATCATGGAGGTCTGTGCTGAGGATCTTCTTATTCTGACTGGTCATGGGAAAATCTTGAGCTTAAAGAATGACTCACCTCTGTGCCTTAAGGTAAAGGATGCCAAGTCTACCAATGGTTCAAAAAAGCCTCAAAAACAGGGGCTTCACAACCATTTGGGGGTCACTTTTGGAGATAGAGCTCTGGATATTTTTTACGAGAGCAAAAGGCACACACACGTGCGTGCGTGCATGTGTGCGTGCGTGCGTGCGTGCGTGTGTGTGTGTGTGTGTAATTTCCCAGAGTTCACGTGACTGCCTTGAAGCCTGTCAGTGGAACTTGCTTGACTGCATGCTGTCCTGGGCCCCAGATAATGCCCCCCACCCTTGTGTTAAGAGTTCATTTTAGCCGGGCGCTGGTGGCTCACGCCTGTAATCCTAGCTACTCAGGAGGCTGAGATCTGAGGATCACAGTTCAAAGCCAGTCCGGGCAGGAAAGTCCATGAGACTCCTATCTCCAATAAACCACCAGAAAACCGGAAGTGGCGCTGTAGCTCAAGTGGTAGAGCGCTCGCCTTGATCTGAAGAGCTGAGGGACAGCGCCCAGGCAAAAAAAAAAAAGAGTTCATTTTAGTGCAGATCTTGACCTTGACATTGACCTTGACTGGCAAGAGCTATAATCGTGTTCTATCTTTACTCACACAATTAAAATCTTCTTCAATACAATACAATACATCATGTGTTTGAAATCTAAGATACTGGCAGAATGAAGAGTGAGCAATAAAATCCCACCATCCCACTGCTGCTGGGGACCTGCTGGCTTCAGAGTTGTTGAGTGTCCCCAGGGTCCAGTCCACCCTTTCTTTATCTTTGGGTTGGTAATATCAAAGCACCCAGGGCTGAGAGCTAAACTGCACCTGTCTTTAAAGCATCCCCAAGAAACAAATTCATGTTCTTCCTTGGTATCACATTAGAGCTAGGCTGGCCCTCTACCAGTGATCCACCTGCTTCCCTCAACAACCCCATTAGAGCATTTAACCACTAAAATGCTTCCTTACCATCTTCGAGGTCTCTCTCGGGAGAAAACATGGTAGGGTTGGAAACAGGCTTCAAGGGGCTGGGCCATCACTCTGGCCCTACACCTTACTAGGTATCAGTGGGGAAAGAAGAACCAGATTTCAGGCAGTTTTCATCCCCCACCTAGCTCAGTCACATCCATGTGGCAAGATAAGCATGAGAGTGAGAAGAGGCCATGTGAGTGGAGACACTAAGCTCCTAAAAACACTGCACACATGGGACACATCATTAACACTGGAATCTTTGCTTATTTCCCCCCTTTTGTCAGTCCCCTCAAAAACCATTTCTCTGGCAACAATATTTTACAGCAAATCAATCAACTGCGCAGTTAGTAGGCTGTAAATGAAACGACTTGGGAAATGGGTATTTCCTTCTGAACAAATGGTGTTTTTCCACAACACAAAGATACTTGGGGGCCTGTTTTATGGGATCTGTTCGCTGCTCTCTTCTTTCTTTATTGCCTTCCTCTCCTTTGTAGATTTCCAGATTTTAAAGGAACACCCATTCTCCTTTGTAGATTTCCAGATTTTAAAGGAACACGCAGTTTTATTTTATTTTATTTATTTTAGTCTTTGGAGACAAGGTCTTGCTATGTTGAACTTGGCAGGCTCCACTTAAAACTACTGAATTCAAGTGACCCTCCTGCCTCATCAACCTGAGTAGCTGGGACTTCATACAGCTGGCCATGCCTGGACTAACTGGAAGTATTTTTTTAATTGCCTCTGTAGCTTTTGCTTTCCGCTCTACCTAAGAGAATTTAGACACGACATGTAACTCTGGAAAGAATTTCTTTTTGGTTTCCTCACTTCTGGCTCGATGACTAAAGCGTGAAATACAACACAGTGTAGTGCAGCAGGGCAGGCTGGGAGGAAAAGGAGCTGAGTCAGGTTCTTCCCATCCCCACTGCCTTTGAACCTGAACTCAGAGACTGAATTGAGGGCAAGAGCTCATGTTCCACTGGATTGGGGAAGAGTTTCAAAAAAGGC